GGGTGTTATGTACTACTTCGATAAGAAGTCTAGATGGGTAAGGAATATAGCCCATAGGTGTATTTTAAATATATCTATATATGTATTGATGTGTATATATATATGTGTGTGTGTATTATTATTATTTATTAATAATAATATATGGAGATATTAGTTTTATATATATATATATATATATATATATATATATATATATATGCATATTATTACGGTTATTATTATTATTATTATTATTATTTTTATTATAGTTAGAATTATTATTTCTTTTTCTTTTTCTCTAAGTATACTTGAGTTATATTAGAATTATGATTAGGTTATTATGTAGTCAATATTTACGTAAGAAGCTCCTAAAGGAGGCTTGTTCGCGGGATAGATCAAGAGCAGTAGAGAGAGGAATGACGGCAACCAAAGGCTGCCGGCATTGAGGAATAGATCGGGAATAGATCGGAGAAGGAGATTTAGGTTTTAATTGAAAGGCAAGTTCTATATTTTATTCCTCTCCTTCGATATAGTGTTCAGTACATGTCTAGGATATATGGCTTTAGGATGATTAAACAAGATTAATAAATTACTGGTTTGCTTGTTTAAATTGGATTAAAAAATAGAGTTTATATGTTTAAATATATGTTTACATACTTTGTATGATTTTCTAATTTGATGCATGAATTGTTGTTATAACTTAATCTCTACCTGTCTAATTGTTGTGATTAAATTATTAAACTATTTTGTATAATTATTAGGAAATAATCTTCACTTCATTTCTATCTGTTTGGATAGAATTCTGAACAGCAGTTCGATAATTCCATTTTCGACTAGATAATAGTATTTTTTTTGGTGGAAACAATCGATTGAGAAAAACTCATTAGCTTTAGCGTGTAGGCTATGTCAGTTTTTGGATGAACACCATCGTTTAGGGTTCCGAAATATCACATTTTGTAATTATTATGAGGCAGCACAATATTTTTTGGTGGAGGCTAAAATGAAGTCCGATTGTCCTCATATTTTAAATTTAGTTGTTTTTGTTGATTATGTTTCTTATTCTATTTTCCCAGAATTTTCAGAGATACTTTATTTTTAGGCTTATTTTCGGAATTGCGTTCATCGTATTACACCTCGATAAATTTTAAATAATGAGTTAAATATATGGTGTATGTTTGATAAATAATATTAATCATATTGAAAATATACTGGGTATGATATTAAAATATAATAATCGTAGTTGGAGTATATGGTGTCGTAGTTGGAGTATATGGTGTTGTATGATAAACACTATTAAGCGTAATTATTCATTCTCGTTGATAAATGATATTTATTGTATCATTGTTATTATTGTATATTTTGATAAATGATATTGATCATATTACAAATTATGTTAATCATAATGTGATTTATGAATAATATATTGGATTATAAGTTGTTTATTTGATATTTATATTGATTTAATTGTTATAACAATTGCAATGGATAATTTAAATTATTATAATCATGTTAATACAGTATGTTGTGATCTTATATATATATATATATATATATATATATATATATATATATATATATATATATATATATATAACATTTATGTTTGCCAAATCAAAAAAATTTAATATTGCATCAAGCCACAAACTCTTACTCTTTTGTTTAAAAAGAAAAAAAGATAAGGTTTATGTATGTATATAATCTTTATCTGTTATTTGTTAGATTATGTGAGAACCATTGTCAAGATATGGTTTCAGATTTATACATCATTGTCAAGATATGCTTATATATTAAGGGTGAACTGGTTAATAAGTTTAGTCTCATTCCTTCTCATGCCATTGTCAAGATATGGATGACAGATTTGAATATTTTAAGGATGAGTTGGCTAATAAATTTTGTCTCATACCTCGTTCAAATTCATATGTGGATGACATGCCATTGAAAGACTATGGTAAATAATTTATTTTATGTTTTGGATATGATATGGATGACAGAAATGTGGATTTTAATGTTTATTGAATATGGATATATGTGTGTGTGTGTGCGCACGCGATGATATGAGTTTGAGTTCTCATAATCTATGGTTATGACTGAGGCATATATTGCCGGATTGGATTGATAACTGAAATAGGAGATGTGTATACCCTGGTAGAAGCGGGACTCTGAACCACTATTTTTCCAAGAGATACCCACTATACGGTTGAGACTGCCATATAGTCCAGTGAGAGTCCTATACTGTAGATCTACATATACGGATTATGTAGTTATTGGATGAGATGTAGTAGAAAGAACTTGTTTGTGGGCTTGACCCACTTTTTTTTTCCAGGTTCATGTCAGTATCAAGTATAGATATTGTTCATGCAGAGCAGAGACCATTTATCATCACTCTTCCAGTTATCTACATAGGATTCTAGTTTATGTTTTTGGTATTCAGACGTAGACAGTTATTACTGTTATTTATTTCAGTTTGAGATTTTATAGGGGTCCACATAGTATGGATTCCCGAATTGTATTTTGGAGGATTATTGTTATCAGAGGATATTTTTATTTATTGAAAATATTTTGAGGAATTAATTATTATTCTAGTTTTCCTTTCAACATTTTATTATTTATTACTTATTCTTTTATATTATGTATTCGTTTATTGCCATTTTTTTTTTCCGATATCCCCGGGTCTTCGGGCGTGGGCCTGGTCAACCCGCACTTGAAAATTCGGAGGTATCATAAAAATGATATGCCCCAAAACTATGCCCTCATGAACCATAAAATAGCTCTTCTCCCAACTAATAATGAGATTGGTTTCCCTACAACGCTGAAGGATGAGGGACAGATTTTGAAGACAGTTTTCGAAAGTGAATTCGAAACAAACGGAGGAGCGTGAAAAGAATTCTTATACATACCTAACATACCTAATACTACTACCAATGGGCCAGTGGCCTAGTGATACCAAGTCCTTACTTCTCAAAAAAAGGTCAAGTGTTCAAATCTTAATAGAAGCATGGGTGTGTAAGTATCAATTTAAAAAAATTTAAAAAAAAAAAAAAAAAAAAAAAAAGACATACCTAATACTACTACTAGGTTAGACCTCACCTGTGATACTAACCAAAAACTAAAAATGCTTTAAAATTACGAGTAAGATACATAAATCTAGTTATGTCATACTATTTGACTAGTTGTTATCAAAATGCTTTAATATTTATCTATCCAATTAGAAAGATTACTATGAGATGTTGGTTTACAAGTTATATATATAGTTGCCCTGATTTGCATTCATTAATTGTGCTGTCATGCTACTTGAATTTTACCTCCTAAAAACTGTTTTGTCTTGTCTAATTTCCTGCTGGATGGGCATTAATTTTACCAGAAGCTAATTTCATTGTCTTATGATAGAATTTATACAATTTTAGAGGGAATTTTACTTGGATTCTCTAATTTTATCGTGTGCCCACTATGTCGTGTAAAGTTATAAACCCATGGTTGGGGCTTTTGAGGTTTGTGAGATATAATACATGTACAGGAACTTCAATGGGAATCTCATTTGTTGATACATGGATTGTATATATATAAGGAAATATCCATTTCGTTATATGGTTATATATGTTTTATTTAAGCAGTGGACACATGCCATTTGAAAAGCAATGTTTTATGGGTACATGGTTTAGGTGAGAGTTTTTAATAAATAAATAGAACAATGACAATAATGATATAAATAAAGAATTAATATTTATGTAACGCTTAATCGACCTCATCAAACTAGTAATTTCTCTTTTCTCATGACAGGAAAAAAAAAAAATAATTGTGCCTGTTATATTAGTGATGTGGTATTACTAACTAATTAAATATTGACATGTAGTGATAAAATTCACTAAAATAAATAATTTTTACTTATGTGACTGAATACAATTAAGAAAAAAATAAATCCCCTGAGAGTGAAATATTTGCAATTGACAATGATGTATTCACCCAAACCACACGTAAGGTTAAAGTCGCCTATGTAGTGTTAGAAAATATGGACTACGTGCCACGAGGAGAAAATTTTAAATTCTACTGTGGTATCACTAACTAATTATGATCAATATTGGGTACCGGTATTTTAGTTTTATACTCACCCATGTTGGAGTCCATGAAATTGGGATTTTCTTGTGAATTTTTGCAAGAACAAATGTCGTTTGATACGTACCTAAACAGTGGCAATGTTTTGCTATTTAAAACAGAACATATTATTTCGAGTACGTGACCGAAAAAAAAAAATCCCCAAGTATAATTTTATTTACTTCAATGGCCGATCACCACTAAGTGTCACGTTATCAAAGCATTAAAATATTTTTTTTGTGACTTTGCAAAAGTATCTCTATATAAATATCACAAGAGTCAAACATCAACATTTTATTGTCATAAAGCTTCTGTAAAATTATATGAAAAGAAACATATGATTTTTATATTCTTTTTACTTTTTCTTGATTATATATGGTTAAGTGGGTTGTTTTTAGATCAACATTGATATAAATTGGCAGGACTCTGATTTGATTCTCAAAGCTTAAGTTTGAGTTTGACAGTTTTGTACCTGCAGAAGCAATAACAAGTGGACACAGCCAGCTAAAGCGTGACATGCATTGACATGATTCGTGGAATGGAAAAATAAACACACTTTCTAGTGATCTCAAACGAACTAAAAAAAAAAACCGCTACAGTACTATTACTTCAACAAGCAAATGACATTTTTCGCTTATAGAACACTATTGTATGTTACTAAATTTAATTAACGTTCTCACCAGGGACGGACCTACTGAAGGGCGAACCTGGGCTATAGCCCACGTCCAAAAAACAAAAAAAAATGAGTACTACTATACATCAGTTCACAGCCCAATCCATATACAATACTATTATTTCTCTTAGTCCAGTCCATATACAATACTATTTTTCCTCTTACCCCAATCCACTTTGCAATCCTGACTCCGCCTTGGTTCTCACGTGTTTATATACTGTCTTCTATATATCATGTCAAAATACTGTACGCCTGCTACTAGAAAGCTTCTGTAAAATTAGTTGAGAAGAATAATTGGTTCTGTTAAATACACGAGGGATCCGAGAACAATTCAAATTATACATGTATAGTTGACAAACGAATCAACTTTAAAGCAGATGAGTCCTATGGAGCAGAACTCATGAAATTGACATAACTTTGTCCAAACATTCAGCTCACCAAAGTTCCATTGCAATCAATTACATTCAAACATACAATCGAGTTACAAAATTAACCAGAGAGAGCAGGCAAATTACGATCTTGGTAGGAAGAACAAAGATTTACATCTCATGTCAAAATGTGAGAACTTTATACTAAGATTATCCAAAATATTCTACCCCCTTAAAAGGATAAAATCTGCATGACTATCAGAGTAGATCCTCCAAACCAATAAACATAGGGCAGTCATCCACATTCATTACCGCTCCAAAAGCCATCAACTAATAATCGGTCGAAAACCTAACAAGAATCCAACAGAATGCTCTCTCTCTATATTATATATATTGTGTCTGTGTGAGACTGCCCTATGTTTATTTTTTGAAGTCATTTTTAATTACTTCGTTCCATACTAGTTATTGTCGGCATTGGAGTCTCTTACCTTCTATGCAAACTGACATTCCCTTTCTTACGGGTGCATTAACGGGTCGACATTCCATGTGTGTCCATTAACACCTAAGTCTGTTTTCGACATTCTCTCCCCCTCATAGTTTGATTAGTTAATCTATATTTTTTAATCAATTCTATCATCCACCTCAACATCTTCATTTCAGTTACATGAATGCATTGTTCTTCTGTCTTTTTTCACGCCCAACACTCGTCTGTTATTTATTTATTTTATTTACATTCCTTATGCTCTGTTTAGTCATATTAATTCTAAACCCTTTTGTTTCTAAAGCATTCTCCAAGTTACGATTTTTTTTTTCCCAAGCATTCCTTAGAAGTATGCAATAATACTATGTCGTTAATTTCAAATTTTGTTCCCAAGCATTACTTGGAAGTATGCAATAATACTATGTCGTCAGCATACAACATGCATCACGGGATGTATTCTTTTATATCTTTTGTTATTTCATCCAAGGTTGTAAACAGGTATTGGCTAAGTACAGATCCTTGATGCAGCCTCACTTTTATAGAGAAATTGTTATTTTTTCCTTATATAGTGCCCTTAATATAATAAAATTTAAAGGGACTCGATTTTTATCTAAAGTCCACCAAATTATATTACTTGTAACCCTATCATATGCCTTTTGTAAGTCTATGAACACCGAGTATAGATCTGCTTGTTTATCATACATTCTTCTATCAATTGCCTACGTAAATAAATGGTATTCATAGCAGATCTCCCTAGCATAAATCCAAATTGGTTCTCGGATAGTATGGCTTTATTCCTTAATTTTGTTCTATAAACCTCTCACAATTTCATTGTAGGACTCATTAATTTGATTGCTCAGTTATTATTACAATTTTGTATATGACCTTTATTTTTGTATATTGGTATAATCGTACTATTTCTCGATGAATTAGGCATCATTCCTTCTTTTAGAATTTTATTGATTAAAGTTGTCATTCAATACCCAAGTTTCCTAGAGTTTTCCAAGCTTGTATTAGTAATTTGTTAATTGCATCCTTTATTTTTCTATTACTGATCCTACTTAACATTATCATATTATGTTAATTGCATGTGATTTCTTCTTCAAAATGTACCGCATTCACGAATTGTTGAAAATATTCTCACCATCTATCTTATATGTCCATCTCTTTTAACTAATATTTTTTCATCTATATCCTTGATGGATCTAACTTGATCCGTGTCATAGTCAACTTATTTCTACTTTTTGCTAGCTTTTATATCTTTTTCATACACACTAGTTAGTTTATTTTCTTTAGCTTTATTTACCACCTTCTTCACTTTTAATTTTTCTAAGTCCTCTTGTTTGTTGTTTGTTTGCCATTCATTTAAACTTTCTTTTATTTTGTACGATTTATTGCACTCCCTCACTCACCACCATATTTCCTTCTTGATAAATTTCTTACATTTTCTTTTCTTTTCTTTATTTATTTTTTATTCTTATAAGTAGCCATATGCCTTTCCATGGAAAGGATATCCCTTGAGAGTCCATCAAGCGACAATAGAACGAGTGAACCTCAAATCTCTCATGGCTCGCACCTGTCCAGAGCATCTCACCTGTTCCCTCTCCAGAAACAGACAAACTATAAAGCATAGCAAAAATTCAATCATCTCCTCCACCTTCTAATCATGAAGAAATCTCTAAAATTGTACATCACAAGAAAATCTCCCACCATCAAGGTGATAGGAATGAGCAACCATCACCTGCCTATCAATAGCAATCCCCACAAGTCTCGAAAACACTCTCTCGAGCGGCCTCTCTCCGCACCAAGGGCCCTCCTAGAAACTGACTATGTGTCCATCCCTCACCCTGAATCAGACATGCTTGGAGAATTCATCCCGGCCCTTTTGGATGCTCCTCTACAAGCCAACTCTGGTGGGCGACCTCAACACCAAAGAGCACCACCCACATCTAGCCTCACCATATCTAGGGCATATGACCCTCCTCCATAGCCAATGAGTCTCCACCCGAAACCGCTACAACCATTTGCCCAACAAAGCTTTGTTGAACCAGTCCAATCTCCCCACGCCCAGACTACCCGCCTGAATGGGCCTACAAATCTACTCCCACGGCACAAGATGGTATTTAAACTCAACTCCCATACCACGCCACAAGAAGTTCCTCTGCAATCTACCTAACTTCCTCACCACAGAAGCCGGGATAGGAAAGAGGGACATAAAATAAGAGGGAAGACTCGAAAGGGTTCTCTTCAATAAAGTCAAACGACCCCCTTTCAATAAAAAACTACTTCTTCCACCTAGCTAGCCTCCTCTCGAACCACTGCACTACTGGATCCCAAGAAGAACCTCTCCTAGATTGAACTCCCAAAGATAACCCAAATACACCAGAGGAAAGGTCCCACTCTACAACCCAAGATGCTGGCAAGATCATCAATCTCCTCCACCACTACGACAAACAAAACCTCGCTCTTCCGAAGATTAATTTTCAGCCCCGAGACCGCCTAGAAGCACACCAAAACCCCTCTCAGGTACCTCAACTGCTCACATCAGCATCACATAACACAGGTAGCTTCTGCAAAGAGCAAGTTAGGATCTGCACCTGGAAAGAAGGATCTCTCCTTACCCTGAAGCCTTTGAAGTAGCCAATCTCGCCTGCATGCCTCATCAACCTACTGAAGGCCTCCATTACAATGATGAAAAGAAAAGGAGATAAAGGATCCCCCTGCCTCAACCCTCTCGAACCGCCAAAGAATCCTGAAATGACACCACTGTCAATAATCTTATAAACAATTAACAAATCACTCAAGCCTTTGCAAACTATTCTTTATAGAAAACCAAAATAATAAAAGGAGTCCAAAATAAATAATTTAGCGAGGATAAAATTATTTAGCATTTCCTACAATGTTAAATTTTGCCTATTGTTTCTAGTAATAAATGCCATTTAAGTCATCAATTAGTGCGTTAGAACCATCCACAAATGTTAAGAGTTAGAAATAGGCAGACCTAAACAAATCTCAAACAACAAATCCCACCTCACAAATAACAATAATAATAAAGTACACAAAACCAAGCGTAATATAAATATTGTGCATATAATTACCTGATATAATAAAAAGAACCTTTACCGTATAGAAAATATTTAAGGACATGTCATCTCCCCGTTAACATCGGACATAAATCATATATACCCTATATTGTTATGAATAAAAGATTAAAAAAAGAATAATGTGTAAAAACCCCGCCCTTTGACATCAAAATATTGCATATACTATCTTTTGTGCAAATAACACCATTTATTGAAAATATCTGCAACTTGTACTCTTCCATTAGTTTTGAAGTGAAAAATGTAAGGTATACAGTCTTTTCAAAGGCTTAGTATATGTAGAACTCGTATTAAGTCGGGGTAACCGAGTTTGGACTTCAAAACCCATGATACTCAACAAAAGTCTTCAACCAAAGCTTTCTCACTTGCTTCCATCTTTTTCATTCAAACAATGAAAGGTGAATTTGTTATTCTTTGTACAATTTAATAATAACACGACATGTCAGTACTGCAGCAAATTTTCACCATATCAGTAGATTATATGCACAATATCCATATTACAAGAAAGTTTTTCACTTCACAATTTCCAAAATATTTTGGAAGGCAAAATACAAAATTGGTTACGAGTTGCAACTATGAAAGAAAGTATATGGATTATGTAAGCTATTTCAATAAAAGTGATGACACATTTATATGGGACATCGATGCATCCAATGGTTGTGGTAGAGTTAATATGGAGAGTCGGCTCTATTTAGTCATTCAAAATATCTTTTTCCTTCTTTAAAAAATAAAACAAAGAAAGAAAAAAAATAAATGAGAGAAGAGGAATGGACAATTACCAACTCAAGTTCTAGTCATGTAAAGATTTACCAATCAATTCATATAACTTTAACAAGATGATTCTCAAGACCCGGATGTTTCAACTTTCATTATTACCCTATTCAATACCAGCTTTCACTGGAAACACACCCACATTATATTCTAATGTTTAAATTCTTCCATAGAGAAGTAAACAAAGTGCAAAGAAGACCTTTAAGTGTGCCGTTTAGCAAAAGTGACATAGTCCACATTGAGGGTAATACTAGGGAAAGAAGACCAAAGTTAACCTGGGCAGACTTAGTAAAGAAAGGTATGATAGCATGTGGATTGACTGAGGAATTGGCTTTAAATATAGCGGAATGGAAACATGGGTATCATGTAGCCAACCCCAAGTAATTGGGAAAAGGCTTGGTGGTGATTGTAGACAAGTAAACTAAGTGCTTCAACTCAACATTCTAAAATGACCTTTAAGTGTGCCGTTTAGCAAAAGTGACATAGTCCACATTGAAGGTAATACTAGGGAAAGAAGAAGACCAAAGTTAACCTGGGCAGACTTAGTAAAGAAAGGTATGATAGCATGTGGATTAACTGAGGAATTGGCTTTAAATATAGCGGAATGGAAACATGGGTATCATGTAGCCGACCCCAAGTAATTGGGAAAAGGCTTGGTGGTGATTGTAGACAAGTAAACTAAGTGCTTCAACTCAACAGTCTAAAATGACCTGCAAGGACCATGATTGGGAATTGTTTGATCGTCTTTCTCTGAGGAAGAGGCGAAGTATAATCAACTTAGAAACTAAACTTATTAGTTATTAGAGAGATTTTACCAAAAAAAAAAATCATAGGAGAGAACAAATATTAGCAAAAGTGACATAGTCCACATTGAGGGTAATACTAAGGAAAGAAGAAGACCAAAGTTAACCTGGGCAGACTTAGTAAAGAAAGGTATGATAGCATGTGGATTGACTGAGGAATTGGCTTTAAATATAGCGGAATGGAAACATGGGTATCATGTAGCCGACCCCAAGTAATTGGGAAAAGGCTTGGTGGTGATTGTAGAAAAGTAAACTAAGTGCTTCAACTCAACAGTCTAAAATGACACCCTCCATACCCTTCTACAGTTTGTGATGTTTCTAAAACCAAAGGGTCGGCGAATTTCCATCAGCAGACACAATACAAGATTTCATATCATAGGAATTTACTCATGAGTAAAAGAGGAGGCTCAAAGTTTTGTCACAAGTACTGGAAAGATGAATGCATAGCATTTCAATCTGTAAAATAACATGGTTGTTGAAACAAGAAATACACGAATTCCCTGGGATTCAATGCACTCAAAAGGTTGACACCACCAAGGACAAACTTAGATGGATAACTAGAGAAGAAGGAAAAGATTACACTAGTAAGAGTGAATATAGAACAATATAGCGTATTACATCAGGAGTTATTATTTTCCCTCTTCTTTTCTCATTCTTTTACGAGGGAGTGGTAAGAGGAAGGCTTTTAGAGGTATGATAAAAAAACATATTCAAGTTAAAACAACAATTCACTGATGGATGTACATGAAATGAGTAAAGCAAAATCAAGTAATAATCTTTAATAAATTGAGGATGACCCAATATGATCACAAACACATTAGTAAAAATGATTCCCTTGAACGGCATATTCTATGCATGCCAAAAAAGATGAAGCAATGTTAAAAGTTTCTGAAATGAAAAAAAAAAAAAAAAGTACCATGGACATGAATCCTAAGGCAAGATTTGCTGCTATATGTAAATATATTACATGGCATTTAACTAGATGGTAACTTGCAAGCAATATATTGGGTAAGAAAATCTGTTACCTGATGGTAAAATCCCAGGGAGCAGCCATCTCATTGGTCAGGAAAATCTGTTATCTGACAGTAAGAACCAACAATTCTGGCATTTGAGAATGATATATCCAAAGCATTAGCCAACTAGGAATCTTTAAAAAGCTACAGTAAAATCCATTTAGCACCATTTAAAGGTTTAATGATGCGCATGGAACATGTACTAAAATAAAATAATAGTAGTTTCAATTACAAAATCCCGCAAGATGGATCTCAAGCAGAAGTTGCCAGGCAATCTGGAGTTACAGCTCAAAAGATCTACTATTCCGCTCCTTCCAAATTCTCCATCAAACACAGAGGGGTGCCATCCTAAAAAAAAAACGAGCGTGGGGGCCACACCACACCCTCTCCAAGAGTCAAGCAAACCTCTCGACGACTGGGGCATGGCCCACTGCACGCCAAACAAGCCAAAAATCAGACTCCAGCAGTCGCGAGCCACAGAGGAATGCAAATGCGGGTGATCCACTGACTCACCATCCTTTTTGCACATGCAACACCAATTAACCAAAACCTGCCTTCTCATTCTGAGGGTTATCATGCGTCGGAATCTTACGAAAACACTTAAAATTCTTTTTTTCTTAGAAGTGTCCAGGTACGCGTGTCCAAATATTGGACACTTTTTAGCCAAGTCCATGTGTCCTTTAAATCGTTAAATTGACAAATCCGACCCCTAGACACGTACCCGAGTCCAAGTAACATATGTTTGATATAAACACACTTCATATTATGCATATATGGACTCAAATTTGTTTTACTGGTCCACCTTTGTTCAGTGACCTTGGGTCTTAACTCCCAAAAGGTCAAGGTTTCGAGACTAGTAGAGAGAAGGGAAAAGAACTTATATTTGTTTTGCATAAGAAGGTAAATAAGTGACTTAATAAGTAATATTTGCAATAGAAAGTGTTCAAACGGGGAACGTGGCCCATGAAAAAAAAGAAGCTAAATAGGGCCCCTAATCTCTCAACGTGTCCAAAAAATCAACTCACTCCCCCTAAGATTACAATTTCTCTCGGCAACCCAACAGAAAAGAGAACTAAGAAAATTTCAGCACCCTAATAGGAGTCTCCTCACCATTATAGGGTCTCCTATTGCGTTCTCTCCATAAGCCCCACCAAAAGGCACAAGGGTGCCACCCTCCAAAGGTCACGGGCTTGGGAACCCACCATACAACCTCTCCAAGCCTCAATCAAACCTGTCGAAATCTGAGGCATAACCCAAACGACCCAAACAAAGACAAAATCGAATCCCAAGCGTCCCTAGCAACCGAGAAATGCATAAAAGATGATCAACCGTCTCTTCATCTCTCTTGCAAATACAACACCATTTGACAACAATCTGTCTCCTCCTCAAATTGTCGCAGGTGAGAATATTCCCCAAAACAGTCGTCCAGCAAAAGAAAGCCACGTTTAAGGAGACCTTGGTGCACCAAACTGTCTTCCAGGGGAAAGCTCATCTAAAAGCTTACCAAAGAAGGAGCCCTGAGGAGAAGGGATCCAAAGTAAGGAGTCATACCCACCCACAACCACCCTCCTGGCTATACAGCACGGGCAAAAACTCAAAGGCATCATCAAGCTCCCAATCCTAGAAAAGCCTCACAAAATGCAAATCCCAAGTTGTCCTCCCACCATCAAGGTGGCTGTTGGCAACCAAAGCATGCCTATCCATAATGTTGAAATATATAAATATTTCTATATAATTGCGGAGCAAAATCCTCCACCAATCATGGTGATCCGGTCAATTTCCTTCCAATTATAAATATATCTATATAACGATGGAGCAAAATCATCCACCAAACATGGTGCCTCCTTTGACTATTGTACACCTTCCATATATTCTTCTCTTTACCATGCCTATATATAGGCTCCTTGTACTCAAGCAATATACAGATCTGAATAATAAAAATGTAGCCCTAAGTGGCTCCTTGTCCATGGATGTAAACCTTAGTGCCGAACCCTGTATATGCCTGTGTTTTCTCTCTTCCCTTTTCCTATTTGCATTTCTTATTTCCGCATCCAATTTTAACAT